GTGAAGCAATCACAGCATAATAATTGTATGCATGCCTGCGTGATGTGTGTTATGAAGAAGGGAGAGGAGGAGTGGATGCACAAGAAGGAGTAGAAAAAAGAAGAAGAAGAAGAAGAAGAAGAAGAAGAAGAAGAAGATGAAGAAGAAGAAGAAGAAGAAGAAGAAGAAGAAGAAGAAGAAGAAGAAGAAGAAGAAGAAGAAGAAGAAGAAGAAGAAGAAGAAGAAGAAGAAGAAGAAGAAGAAGAAGAAGAAGAAGAATTGATTGAAAGACACTTCGTGAAAAAAAAAATATTCTGTTCACCAAGCATAAATTAAAAAAAAAAAAAATTGGTCAGAAATTATACGATAAAAAATAAGAAACATCACTGGCAGATTATTCACAGTGTTTGTATTTGCAGTAATAATTTAAATATATCAGTAACAGTGTCATTGGAACATAGGGATGCCTTTGAGGCTTTAAGCCGGCACTCCCTGGGCCATCGAACATTTTGTATGGGAGCACAGCCTCCCCTCCTCTTTTCAGCCTCCTTATGTAAGCGGGTTATGAATCTATTTCAAATATATTATTATATGCATTTGCCCCAAAGGATATTATTATTATTATTATTATCATTATTATCGATATTATTATTAAGCATTTAAACTAGGCGTAGGTCTCTGGAGCCCCTGGATATTTTGTAAGGGTAGGGAAAATGAACCCTTCTTCTCCCTAGCCCACCCCTATTCCCCCCCCCCTCCCCCATCACCAACCACAACCAATGTTTTGTTTGCCTCTGCCCTGCGACCAGTAGCAGATAAGTGTCCCCTGTGCCCAGCTCTTCCGTGACGTCAGACCTTAAACTACTGCGCGAGATTTTAACACCAGCATACGACAGTCTAAACCTTAGTGGGATTGGCCTACTCATTATTTTAGGCTCGTAGAAAGTACACAAGGAGTGTGTTATGTGTACGTGATGTGTGTGGTTTGTTTCGGATGTTTGCGTGTGTGTGTGTGTGTGTGTGTGTGTGTGTGTGTGTGTGTGTGTGTGTGTGTGTGTGAAAGACAGATATCAGCACCATGTTAGAGAGATGTTAACATAAACTATTGTCACAATCAAGATAAAAATGGATGGAGGGGGGGGGGGGGGGGGGCCGAACTTGATTTCAAGAGGGACAGAATGCTAGACGGGTGTGCGTGCCCAAATCTCACAACTTTTAAGCTAAAGTTCGTTCGTTTCTTGGGCCCTGTGTGCCTTTGGTGTGCATGTGTGTTTCTTCCTAGTGGGTTGTCTCGCATCTACGTCGCTGTTCTTCTCCTCTGTATATACTATTCAATATCTAATACATAGATTCTAAATCTTTTTTTTTTTTTTTGCTAGAGAGAGAGGGGGTCTACAGACCACCTTTCCTGGACACGGTCTTGTTTGAGCCTTTGTAGAGAGGACAGTATGTGTGTGTGTGTGGGTGGGTGGGGGTGTGTTTGTGTGTGTGTGTGTGTGTGACCCAAGGAAGAAGCAGTAAAGAGTTCAAGTGTAGGACCCACCCACAAGTCACTGTTGAGTAATGCTATCATACTCCTACATTCACTCTCTATTGGTGTTTTACGAAAGCCTGGAAATGTATTAACACCAGGGCTTTGTTAGGCGGTACTTTATCCCAAGGCAACATGCATCTGGTAAGACACGTTGTGGTGAATGCCGACACCTGGTTAGATACGTTGTGGTGAATACCTGCACCTGGTTGGATACGTTGTGGTGAATACCGGCACCTGGTTAGACACAATGTGGTGAATACCGGCACCTGATTAGACACGTCGTGTTATAGCCCCCCCCCCCCTTACCATCCCAAGCCAATAATTGTGTAAGGTGAGTAGGTTATAACCACCCAATAATTAGGTTATAACCACCCAATAATTGAGTGAGATGACTAGGTTATAACCACGGCCTTCTCTATATACAGGCGGACCTGGATATAAACACCCAATAATTGTGTCATCTTAGACTAGGATATAACCACCCAATAATTGTGTAAGGGGACTATGTTATAACCACCCAATAATTGTGTAAGGAGATGTTTATTTATTGTCTTCTTGGTCTGCCTCGTAGTCTACGACTAATCAGCTTCTTTGTGTACACAGTTTTTGCCTCTCTGTCGTCTGACATTCTTTCACTTTGTCACAGCCATTTCAGTTTATTAGCCATCACGGTGCCAGTGATCAGTGATGATTTAAATAGATGATGAATTTCATTATTGCTTTTCACTCTCCCCGCTGTTTTCATCTTTGATAGGTCCAAAGATTTGTCAAAAGTCTATGTTTTCGAAAATGTGTAAAAAGACTTCAACTCTTTTAGCTGTGCTCCGTGCTTCCGAGCTATAGAGCACGACTGGTCTTATCAACGTTTGATATATTTTGATCTTGGTGTAGCGAAATAGAGACTTTGATTTTAGCAGATGTTGAAGGGCATATTATACTTTATTTCTAAATTGTATTTCTTATCTCGGCATGTTGCAGCAGTTGAAGTTTGCAGCAAATTACTTATATGTTTCTGTTCGTTTGATTTTCATATCATCGACTTGTATATGGCTGGAGTTTATATCATTTCCCTGTCTTGTTATTATTATCATGTATTCTATCGTACCTTGATTGATAACAAGTCCCATTATGTGTGCTGCCTCTTTTAGGAGAGTCGGTGTTTTTACAATCTTTAGTACACTTCTCCAGCGATATCAGAGTCATCTGCATAACCAAGTATACTAGCAGTTTCTTCTATAGTACAATTTTGTTTCAATTTCCTTACAATTTTTCTCCAGGGCCAAGTTGAACAGAGGGGACAGAGCTTTACCCCGCATTAAACATGACCGTCTACAGTCGGTTAACCAGATGTTTTTTTAGAAGTGTCTTTCTGCCTTTATATGTCACTATATTTAAAGTGACTTTCATACATAGTTTGGTCATGGTAATTAACTTTTTTGGTATTCCAAAGTATTTCATAGCATTGCATAAACTGTTTCTGTGTATACTATCATACGACTTACTTGAAATAATATAAATTGGATTAACACATATTGTTAAAGAAAATGTTTATAAGTGATTGTTAAACGCATTCACTAATCACTAGGCCACACAAACTTAATGAGTTACGGATACTGGAGAAAATAAGTTGTAGAGAAGAGAGAAGTGCGCATGCCTGGCGCAGAGACACCTGGGACAGCATGACCAAATATAGCATGGCTTGTATCCCGACGCCGCCGGAAACATCGTCTGCAAGGTTGGCCGACCGTTAGTGGCAGGTTAGTTAGTTTTCTTTATTGACACTTTTCTCCACACTTTCTCGTCAGTTGTTGAAGATTATTGGAATAGTAATTATCGCTTTCAGAGCTTTGTTACCGTCTGCTGGAAGAATTCTATATAGTTTCCGAGTACAGCTGTTTTGCCCGTAAGGTCAGCAAGAGAAGGAGGGGTGTAATGACTAATGTTTGTTAGAATAAGAAGGCTGAAGTTCTGTTGTCTGTTTAAGTTAAACTTTAACTGTCTTTACTATTGTCACGATTCGTATACAACTTCTCTTTTTAGATTGTCTACATTCTTCGCTGTTTTCTGTTTTAATTTTGGCGTTTTTGTATAATAAGGAAAAATGGCAGTTAATCTGCGGAACTTTGAATGTTCACAGCAGTGGCAAGAAAGAATCCATTTGATTGTGACAGTTTCCTTGTTTCCACTGACGGAGGAATTCCTCTCCAACTCCCTCAGCCCACACACACACACAGCCCGACCTGTGTAGTTGTATGTATGTAGTAAGTCGGTAGCGTACTTTCCTGCCATCGTCGTTTTCAAGTGCTTGTGTGTGAGTGTTAAAGTCGTTTCTATAAGTGTGTGGGCAAACCTAACCTAAGCGATGTGAAGTAATAATAATATTATTAACAGTCCATCCCTCTTTTCACAGGTTCTCAGCTTTACTTGGGCCGTTCTTAAATGAATGAAATAATGTTTCCTCATTTAGTATGATTCAGTGTTGCGTTTAAGTTGGAATAAGGCTCTTGAGTCAAGCCTTGTGACAATTTTCTCTCTTTACTTAGTAATTCAGATTATTACTACATTTGTAAAAAACAGATATAAACTCGGTATTTGGTCTTTGTAATAATAATATAATAATGAATGCACAAACATGTGTTTATCAAGTGCTTGTGATTTTATGAGTAGAATGCTGAGTTTATTTATTATCCTGTAAAGTAAGGATGTTTTATAGCTTTAGTTACTTGTTACTTAAAGCTCAGTGTATACACATGTACGAGCCAACCTTCATTCTCTACATGGTGCATTTTAATGAAAAAATTCATGAAATATTTTGTTCAATTTTTTTTATACATACATTTCACCAAGTTTTATTTTTATTATTCTCCAAGCCATGGTAACCTAGTTATCAGTGCTCATACATTTAAGGGCTATCCTCCGAATAACGATTCCAAATTATCGAGGCTAAGATAATACCCTAACAGGCCTCAGTCATATCTAAATTGCGGACCTCTTTCCGGCCACTATACCGCCACCGCCGAGAGTATCCCTCACACCACTACGCGCGCCGTGAGGGTGGCTAAACTAGATGACTGGGATTCACGAGCAAATGGAATAAGCTGCAGGAGATGCGGGAGCTGCTGCTCGTGAGTCCCAGCCATCTAGATTAGCCCCCCTCTGCGCTTAGGGGCGCTGGGGAAACTCTCGCGGTGACTTTAACTCTGCAAAAGCTTTTCTGCAGTGAAGTCGCCGGAAAGAGGTCCGCAATTTACACATGACTGAGGCCCTGTTAGGGTATTTTCTTAGCCTCAATGATTTGGGACCATTATTTGGAGGATAGCCCAGTTTTGTATCAACACATTCATTCATTCATTGTCCTCTTGTGCCTCACATAGGGCTCACAGAAAAAGATATTAACAAATATGTTCTCATTGTGTTATCCACAGATTTAAACAGTATAGATCATCAGTTTCTGTAGAACTATTCATTGAAAGTTGAACACAGCATCATGCGGGAGTACAAGTTGGTTGTTCTGGGTAGTGGGGGTGTTGGTAAAAGTGCTTTGGTAAGTGATTTTTGTTTTTCAGACTGTTTTCTGCTTATTGTTAGTTACATTAGCAGCTTCTAACTATTTCCTTTGTTATAATTGTATTATTCTACACTGTAACATTTGCATTGTGTTTCTGTCAGCATCTGAATTTATCTCTGTCTGCCTGCAAATGTGTGTGTGTGTGTATATATATATATATATATATATATATATATATATATATATATATATATATTTATATATATATAAAATGATCTGATCCTCCCCGAGTCACTGGCAGACTATGTGTCTCTGTCTCTTTCTCACGCTGCTTCCCTCTATGTTTGTTTCTGTCTCTATATCTCTGTTTCTATCTCTCCATCTCTCTCCTCTCTGTCTTTGTATGTCTCTCCCCCCCCCCCCCTTCTCTCTCTCTATCCATCCATCCACAGACAATATAAAATGTATGTGTGACACTTCTAGGTAATGTTGAGACAGAGATTCAGCAATCATTTCAGGTTATGGGGAATAACTAAAAATCATTGTATTGTCCACCATGCTCTGTCACTGAAGTTCTTTTGTCTGCTTTTATTAGCAGATGCATAAATACAAGCCGGTTGACATTTCTTTCAAAATTATCTTGCTAGTAGTAGTCATATTTTAAAATGATAATAATATACAATCTAAAACAGCTGTGTGATAGTGTTTGCTGTTGTTTTAATTGTTTGCCTATGGAGAAAATGTGTGGTCTGAAGTGCTATATCAGTGATGGATGTGGAACCCTGTCCAGTTTCTGTCTTGTTGACCTCCCCAGACAGACAGGCCTAGCTACATCTGATTAAGGTGTGGTGCTGCTTGTCATTCAGACTACACTTGCCTGTTTCAGTGACGTGATCTCATAGGCCGATGGCGTCAAATGTTAATTGCTGGAGCACAGGCTGGGCTGTTGCCCCATCACTTGGAAGTGGATAGATAAGTGCTAGAGAACGTACTAAATACTGGTGGGTTCTGCATTCTGGTTTTAAGGGCTCTGCTTGAACTGAGGTCCACTTTGGTTCATGTCCCAAGAGGAGGAATAGTATATCCATTGTGCAAGATAAAGATATTGGATACCTCTTGTGTAAGGTTCTATAAAGAAGCAAAGTTAGTCTTACTGGTGATCATCATGTAGCAGGTCCTTTGCAGAACGATGCTTTCATCACAGTCTGCCTGAAAGAAACTCGGTCGCTCGCGCCTTGTGCACCCAAGGAGTCACTTATATCCTGTGCCCATCTTCGTGTTTGTCGGACATTTTGCTGTTGTGATTTTTTTGTCCCAGTCCGCTGTGGTTCTTGATAGGCCAAACATTTCTGCTTCCGACTTATGATGCTGTTTGTTAGCCAATCTCCCTTTATGTTCACATCTTTTAGAATGTTGGTTTCTTTTCTTCAAAAGCCCCTATTTGCTTCTTTAAAAACTGAAAGATAGTCCATGACTCACATCTGTATGTTGCTACAGGGAAGATGCATGCTCTCACATGCTCCTTGTTGTTACTTAATCATAGACTTTAAATGCTGTTTAATCTTTGTATTGTTGTGGTCATCCTCCTGTTAACATCTTGTGTGGTTACCACAATTTGTGTTCTCCACCTGTCCATGGTGACCTCCAGAAAAGCACCTTCCTTACATGTCACTCTGACCTTAACCTTTGTTAATTCTTGGAATTAGATTCAGCAAAAAAAAAAGGAGCCATAAAAATAGTACTGACAGTAGTCGAGCTGGTATCAGGAAATACATTTACCAAACACAAACTAGGTAGCCCAATAAAATAATTATAGTTTCAATAGTTGAAATTATTCTTTGAACCTCCAAGTGTATATTTGTATTGATGTATTATTAGATAAGGAAAGGGGATTGTTTGTTCTTTAAAGCACTAACCATGAGCATTGTTGTTCCCCCTTTGAGAATGATCAGTCCTATAGTCTATCTGTGCTGGCTGCTGTCGGATGACACCAAAGTGGATGAAATAAAACAGCACAGGGATGTCATTTATGGCCTAGCTCAACACCAGTGTTGGAGATGTCATTTATGGCCTAGGCCAATACAAGTGTTGGAGATGTCATTTATGGCCTAGGTCAATACAAGTGTTAGAGATGTCATTTATGGCCTAGGTCAATACAAGTGTTAGAGATGTCATTTATGGCCTAGGCCAATACAAGTGTTAGAGATGTCATTTATGGCCTAGGTCAATACAAGTGTTAGAGATGTCATTTATGGTCTAGGTCAATACAAGTGTTAGAGATGTAATTTTTTGCCTAGGTCAACACCAGTGTTAAGAGATGTCATTTATGGTCTAGGTCAACACCAGAGTTAAGAGGTGTCATTTATGACCTAGGTCAACACCAGTGTTAGAGATGTCATTTATGACCTAGGTCAACACCAGTGTTAGAGATGTCATTTATGACCTAGGTCAACACCAGTGTTAGAGATGTCATTTATGGCTTAGGTCAACACCAGTGTTAGAGATGTCATTTATGGCTTAGGTCAACACCAGTGTTAGAGATGTCATTTATGGGCTAGGTCAACACTAGTATTAGAGATGTCATTTATGGGCTAGGTCAACACTAGTATTAGAGATGTCATTTATGGCTTAGGTCAACACCAGTGTTAGGGAGTATATGTGATTGAAAATCTGATATTTATATAATTAATGAGCTGATAGAAACAGTCAGCATCACTAGGCTCCCACTTTTGTTAGGGAAAAGACTGAACACTTATTGGTCAGCCAGTCAGCACTGACACAGTTTGGCCTAACAAATAAAATGATATTGCGTTGTTGATCATTTACAAATCACCATTTTTGTCGGCTGATGTATTTGTTCTTGATACATTTCAGACTGTCCAGTTTGTGCAGGGGATATTTGTAGAGAAGTATGACCCAACAATAGAAGACAGTTACAGAAAAGTAAGTACCATTGGCACTCTGGATTCTTTGACTCTATTACTTGTTCTATAGTTATTACTGTTAGTTAGTCGTTAATCGAAGTTTCGACATTATGGCCGACAAGTCACCCTGCAATAATTCCATTCCTGTGCCAGCAGAAATTACACAGCATGCCTCTCTTGCCCCTGGTGGAGAAAAATTGGGATACACAGCTGTCCCGGCAAGGCCAACAGCATTCACGCACATGAAATGCATAAGGCAACCATCCAGTAGAAGTGCATACATAAAGACGTTATTACTGTTTTCTCAGTTAAAGCAGTCAGCTCTGTTTTCTCAACTTCTACCAGCACAGTTTGAGCAGTTGTGTCCATTATGCCGAGAAAGTTCAGTGATGATACAGTGGATTGTTTCAATGATGCAAACAAGATTGATACTTTGTGTTGATAAATGTTAAAATGTTGAGAAGTGTGATCAGCTATGCCACCTGTGAAGACATTTGATGGTAACTAATTTTAAAAAAAAAATTTATTAAAAAAAAAGAGAGTGAACAAAAAATACAACAAAAATGTACAGCACCTACTAGTTATTTTGACAATTTTAGTTTATAATTAAAGAAACAAGCTTTTCAGTTGATTAAATTTACAGTACAGTGCAGATTGCTTAAAGCCATCTCGGATGTGGCGAATTTCTATTGTAAAGAACAGTCTGCTTATCCTGGGAAATTTTTCTTGCTTGAACTTAATAAGAGGAATTTCTGATAAGAAGGACCATTTCTTGGGTCCTCTGTGAGTTCTCCTTATCAGGTCTGCACTATTGTGTATTACAAGTTGTTTTTGTTTTTGTTTTTTTTTGGTTGTAATAAGCAAGAAAAGATAAATCTTGAGATTGTAGCTGATTGTGTTTTTGTCTTTGCAGCAAGTGGAGGTGGATGGGCAGCAGTGCATGTTGGAGATTCTGGATACAGCTGGAACTGTAAGTAATGTTCATCATCCCTGTCTAAACACTAGGGTGCCCTTTCACTGTTTAATTCCCGATGCTTGTAGTCTGAAATGAGTCAGGAATGAGATAGTGTCATAGTAGATATTACGAGCGGAAGGTGGATGTTCCAGAAGTTCCCACCCTAGATAGTTAATTTTTTCCTGAGTTAACTGAGCTGTTTGTAGTCTGGCATTGTCATAAAGGAGCAGAACTCCTCTAGTCAGCAGGCTTGGATGAAGCATTGGTATAACTTTATAGTATGAATCAGCATTCAGATTGTCACCTTTGTTTTTATTTTTTTTTTTTTTTTTTTAATTGGTTAAAAGCACTCCTTGACAGTCCCAAAACACTGTCAGCATAGCCTTCCCTGCTGGTGGCGTAACACAAGACGAAAAAGGATGTTTCCATTGCATTGAAGCTCGCTTTGATTTGGGCTGGTAGTGGTGCACCCATGATTCGTCCCCAGTAATAATCCTACATTTTCCTGCCATCCCATAACCACTTGTGATTTACATATTGACTTGCCCTCGTATCACTGCTGATGTGATGTGTTACATAGAAACCAGAGCCTGGAGCTCACAGTCCTTGAAGCCACCCTCTCCCGAGTGGGTTGGGTAAAGTGTTGATATCTCCTCCTCATATATGTAAAAGGCCTAAGATGTTCCCTTTATATATTTATAGAAATTATCTTTTAAAGTATAATGCTTTAATATTGTTTTAAATATTATATTTATTTTCCATTCAGCTCATTATTATTATTATGCTCCTAATCTAGTATTAAATTGCTAGATATTAGATTTCATATCTTCCTGTGACATCAGGCACCCTCTCTAACATGTTATGTGTTGTTGGCACTCAGGAACAATTCACAGCCATGAGAGACCTGTACATGAAGAACGGGCAAGGCTTTCTCTTAGTCTACTCCATCACAGCACAGTCCACTTTCAATGATCTGCAGGACCTGCGGGAGCAGATCCTCAGGGTCAAGGATACTGATGATGTAAGTGAATATATGAGTATCTTGTTCCCTGGTTGTGATATCTGAGAGAATGTGTTCCTGTTCTCCATGTTGTGCTGTAGCTGCTGTTTGACCAGGATGCAGAAAGCTGCTAGAGACTAGTTTGACTAGAACCTACAGATCATTCTGTTTGCTTACTAAGCAGGGTTGCCCTAGACGATAGTTGCAGAATTCAGCTCGTCATAGACAAGGCAGTGAAGGACTTGGTTAACTCTTTCACTACCAGGTAGATATTCTTAACACAGTCTGTCCCAGAAGGGTTTAAGTAACACATTCTATCCCAGCAAGGTTTCAGTGACACATTCTGTGTTAGGGAGACATTGGGTCTATTCTTGTTTTCCCTACAATGGGGCCCACACAGGAACATCATAGAGATTGTTTATTTGCCTGTGCCCAGCAGTAGCTGCTTGAACTCATGTCACCTGCTCAATAACTATGGCTCGATTACAGTAACAGTTGCCTGTTTGAAGACCCAAGCTTTTCTTGCTGTTGTTATTGTCTGCGTCTGGGAATCAGCTTCAACATTGTCTAGCACTGAATAAGTTCAGTAAAATGTTCAGGCTGGTTTACAGTAATGTCTGTGCTGGAACTGAATGAGAATTAACAATTACAAGTCAGTAGAAGACTCAGTTCTATACCAGGTGCCTGTTGGGTGTATGATTCTGAGTTCCATGTTTCAGAAGGCTAGTCAGCATGGCCTGCGTCATGTGATCATTATAATGCCACCCTTATTATTTATAACTTGAGACAATATCTCCTGGTATATTTAAAATAAAGTTTGTTCCTTCGTTCGATCTTAGGCCGGGTCTACCAGGGTGATGACCAAACCTGTCATCCCACTTTATGCCCACTGCTTTGGGTGGAGGGAGAAGCACATTGGGGTGGAAGCTAGCCTTATCATAGACAGTAAAAATACAGCCTGAAAACTTAATGCTATGCCAGGCTAGACAAACCCTTAGCCCTGGTCTCGGAGGAAAGCTGCAATAGACAAGACAAAGCACTGAGGATAAATATTTCCAGCAACTAGAGTAGAAACAGTGACAACAGCAAGGACAGAAACACAGACAGTAGCAGTAATTAAGTGACAGTAGTAACTAATATGAAGGTTGTGGGTTCAGCTCCTGATGGAGCCGGGTTGTTTAAAAAAGGACCTTGACTCTCAGGTCAACCCAACGATTAAATGGGTACCAGGTAAAGTACTAAGAAGTCAAGTCAGCCAGCGTAAGGTTAACCACATCACCCACCGAGTGCCAGCTGATCTATAAAATAAAGGTCTAGCCCTATATGCCTAATACACGTTAAGGCTTGAAAAAGTGCACTTTACTTGTTTTATGAAAAGACACTGATCAACCCCTGGTGAGTTGCTGAGTACAGATTGAGTGTATGTGCATTTCCGTGATCGATTTTTCTTCTGTTTGTTGCCAGGTACCAATGCTGTTGGTGGGCAACAAGTGTGACCTGGAGGATGAGAGGGTGGTAGGCAAGGACCAGGGTCAGAACCTGGCCCGCCAGTTCCAGTGTGCTTTCCTAGAGACATCAGCCAAGATGAAGATCAATGTTTTAGAGGTAAGACTTCCATATAGAGTCTTTGTTTTAGAGATACACTTACACATGCAGTTATTTTTTTAGAGATACACATGCAGGTAATGTTTTAGAGATACACTAACACATGCAGGTAATTTTTTAGAGATACACTAACACATGCAGGTAATTTTTTAGAGATACACTAACACATGCAGGTAATGTTTTAGAGATACACTAACACATGCAGGTAATTTTTTAGAGATACACTAACACATGCAGGTAATTTTTTAGAGATACACTAACACATGCAGCTAATGTTTTAGAGATACACTTACACATGCAGTTAATGTTTTAGAGATACACTTACACATGCAGGTAATGTTTTAGAGATACACTAACACATGCAGTTAATGTTTTAGAGATACACTTACACATGCAGTTAATGTTTTAGAGATACACTAACACATGCAGTTAATGTTTTAGAGATACACTAACACATGCAGGTAATGTTTTAGAGATACACTAACACATGCAGTTAATGTTTTAGAGATACACTAACACATGCAGTTAATGTTTTAGAGATACACTTACACATGCAGTTAATGTTTTAGAGATACACTAACACATGCAGGTAATTTTTTAGAGATACACTAACACATGCAGGTAATTTTTTAGAGATACACTAACACATGCAGGTAATTTTTTAGAGATACACTAACACATGCAGGTAATTTTTTAGAGATACACTAACACATGCAGGTAATGTTTTAGAGATACACTTACACATGCAGTTAATGTTTTAGAGATACACTTACACACAAAAATCATTGTTTAGAGGTTACAGTTAACACATAAAATAAGTATTTTAGAGGTGCACTTCTCTGCTTTTCTGTAATGTTGAATTAAATTTGTCTGAAATATTCCTTACTTGTATACCTTTTTATTTATGATACATATCAGCGAAATATGGGTCAGGACAGATATTCTGTCTCTAGTCAACCCTTCAACTTCTAGTCAGCTCCTGTCATTTGTTTCCCATTTCTCTGCATTGTGTTTTCTCAACATTTACTTGTATTTTCTATTCTTCTCTGCTTGTGTGTGGTTCATCTGTTCTTTTTTTTTTTTTTTTCCCACACCTTTTCTGCACCTAAAATATCCATCTGATGTGTCTGATTAGAATTTGAAGCTGACTGTCCACCTGTTGTGCTTGCAGATATTCTACGACTTAGTACGACAGATAAACAAGAAAAACCCTGGACCTGGCAGACAGAAGAAGAAAAAGGGGGGATGTGCTTTACTTTGAGATCTGAACAGGTAGGTCTCCTGTCTGTGATCTTCTCGTGACTGATTGCCTGTCTGGTCTGCTCCAGTCTGTGTTCTCCAATCTGTTCTTTTCTGTCTGTGCTCTATTAGTCTGTTGTTTGAATATCTCATGGTTAAATACTTGCTTCAGTTGCTTTTTTTGTGTATATGTAACTGAGTAGTCAGTTTGGATACAGTGGGTGCTTGCCATCACTGAAGATGGTAAACTGGTCGAAGAAATTGGCATCCGATGCAGTATAGCTGGCCAAGTATTGGGACATCTAGCCTCCCCTTTTACAGCATAAGGAAATCCCAGTCAGCACAAAGAGACATCTCATACAAAGCATATTCATTCCCACCCTATATTACCAGTGCCAGACGTGGCCAGTCACAACAAAACATAAAAGAAAATCAGTAACCATGTAAATGAGGTGTCTGAGAAAGGCTGTAGGAGTGACCAGAAGAGATAAAATCAGGAATGAGGTGATATGAGATAAAGTCGGCACTGAACCAATTCTAAATTACAAACAAAGATAGTAAATCAAATGGTTTGTCCACTTGGAGAGAATGCCTTGTGATTCTATACCATACACAGTGTATATCAATAGAGGAGAGAGACGTAGAGCAAGAGGTAGACCAAGAACAAGATGGAAAGATATCAGAGAAACTCTACAGCACCACGATGTGTCTATGGTCGAAGCAGCCAGAAGGGCACGAAGCAGGACCTTTTATCTCCCTCAACACCCGAAGCGGTAAAAGAGGATGTAAAGAAGAAGAAAGGGTAGGATGCTTGCTAAACACACTTGAATATGAAAATATCACAGCAAAGAAAACTGGTCATTAATCCTATAAAAATCTGACCAAGACTTGTGGACCACTCTTATTTTCAAAGATCTGCCATGGACCCTTAATAATGTTCAGTAGTTGCCCTGAAACACAATTTATAATTTATCAATTCTAGAACTGCAAAAGGGATTGCATCTACAATTGTGGGTTTTTGGTGCATGCGTACGAGGGCGCGTATGTTTGTGCATGTATGAAAAAAATGATGATTACAGACGCCTTAGTTTGAAATATTTTTAAAAAGGCATCCGCTCCTCCTTTCCACCGTCAGGGAGAAAGGAGAAAGCTTTGATTAGGGTTTAGATGTCAGTTACTGCATTCCTGAGTTTATATGTTTCCTCCTGCCTGCAGACTTGTTGCTTGTGTTTCAGACAGATGCTGTTTGCGCAGTAGTGGGTCTAATGGAGATGTAGCCTGGGAAGTTCCATTAATTCTGTTGCAGCCAGGGGCCCATGGGTGGCCATACTTGCACCATCCTAGGCCTGCCTGCTTGGAGCATGTTGTATCCTCACAGTTCACGCCATTTTGCAGCTTCTCTGACTAAAAATTATGGACTTTATGTGAAATATATGTCTACTAATTATGTACCTCGTATAAAATGTACATCTAATAATTAACTTGTCAGGAAGTCTGTCTGTGCCACAGATATTTTGTTAATGTCAACTTCCATGTGGTGCAGTTTGTACATGTCAACTTCCATATGGTTGCAGTTTGTGTATGTCAGCTTCCATATGGTTGCAGTGTATATGTCAACTTCTGTATAGCTGCAGTTTGTGTATGTCAGCTTCCATATGGTTGCAGTTTGTATATGTCAACTTCTGTATAATTGCAATTTGTATATGTCAGCTTCCATATGGTTGCAGTTTGTATGTGTAAACTTCCATATGGTTGCAGTTTGTATATGTCAACTTCCACTTCCATATGGTTGCATTTTGAATATGTCAGCTTCCTTATAGTTGCAGTTTGTATGTCAACTTCTTATGGTTGCAGTTTGTTTATGTCAGCTTCCGTATGGTTGCAGTTTGTATATGTCAGCTTCCGTATGGTTGCAGTTTGTATATGTCAAATTATGTATAATTGCAGTTTGTAAATGTCAACTTCCGTATGGTTGTAGTTTGTAAATGTCAACTTCTGTATGATTGCAGTTGTTTCTGGGATGGCCACTGCTGTGAAATATGGGGGGAGGGGGGGTGGTTAGTGTTGTGTTGGGAGACTCATGGAAACCAACAACAGAAAGAGAAGATTCTAGGCAGTCTGTTGTGGTAGCTTGAAATAATGTGGAGAAAGTAACAGAAAACTCATGGGATCACTGTGACAGTTAATGACAGCCATTCGTTTTTGTCTGATAGTTCTTCCTTTCTTTTACATCCTCCAGGTACTGCATCAGTGTGCTCTGTGTCCATATTTCTTCAGCATTTCTCTCTAGTTTTTGGTACCATTCTCTTTAGATGTCCAGACTACCTCACCTGTTGCCCTTTAATCACCGGTAGTACTGATTTATGATCTTGTCTTCTTCTAATGTGTTCATTGGTAATTGTAACTCTGTTACTCCAGCAGCTCTTCTAAGACATCTCCATCTGTGTTGTAGTAAGGGTCCAAATCTGACACTAGTAGCATATAGTTAGCAAAAGTATATAGTTCTTTATGGATTTGCTTTGGTAGACAAAGGTGTACTTCTATGTGTTAAAGGTTTTATTAGTTGTTCCCCGAAGCGGTTTGTTTTCGCACATAGGTGTTGATTACTCTCCAGTCTTGTTTCTGTTGGGAAAATTGACACTAGATATTTAAATTCACTTGTTTATTTTATCTGGATGTCATGTACTTTTGTTGATAATGGTTTCTGATCGGTTATAGTCTGATAGTTATTGTGGCAAATGTATTTTTAAATGAACAGATTTGACTGACATGGAGAGAAACTGAAAGATGAATACCTGTAAAGTAATGAGAAAAGCTACTTTGCAAGTCAAGAATTGTAACAAGTACTATAACCCCATCAGAAGAAAAAAAAAGGGGGGAGGGTGCCCAAAGTTCCATAATGGATTAATGGATAGTCCAGATAATCCACAGTTGACCATATACCAGCCTGACCTTTCTCCACGGTCATCAGCTCCTGTGTTTACCTCTTCACAGAATCTGTGTACAGTACTGTCCTGTCCAAATTTGCTTGTATCAGTGCATCAACAACACTGCAACAATATACTGTTGAGACTTGTCCACAGACATGGTCCAGGCGTCGCCTGTTATGAGCAGTTTTTGTCCTGGCTGGTGAAATGTCATCAAAAGTTACTGATTATTTTGATATTGTCGCATGTGTGTATGCAACATTTTTTTTTCTTCTTCTCATATTATATTAAGCTGCATCCTTTTTAAAGATTAAAATTAATTATATTTATTTTTATTTTGTTTGTAATAATATTTATGTTTTGTTTTACGAGACAAAGAAATATTTAAGAAATATGTTTACAATAAATAATGAGATGTTAAGTGCAGACTGGTGAAATACTGTTCTCCTGTCACTGTGTGCTAACTTTGTGGTGAAATACTGTTCTGCTATCACTGTGTGCTAACTTTATGGTGAAATACTGTTCTCCTGTCACTGTGTGCTAACTTTATGGTGAAATACTGTTCTGCTATCACTGTGTGCTAACTTTATGGTGAAATACTGTTCTGCTATCACTGTGTGCTAACTTTATGGTGAAATACTGTTCTGCTATCACTGTGTGCTAACTTTGTGGTGAAATACTGTTCTCCTATCACTGTGTGCTAACTTTATGGTGAAATACTGTTCTGCTATCACTGTGTGCTAACTTTATGGTGAAATACTGTTCTGCTATCACTGTGTGCTAACTTTATGGTGAAATACTGTTCTGCTATCACTGTGTGCTAACTTTATGGTGAAATACTGTTCTGCTATCACTGTGTGCTAACTTTGTGGTGAAATACTGTTCTCCTGTCACTGTGTGCTAACTTTGCGGTGAAATACTGTTCTGCTATCACTGTGTGCTAACTTTGTGGTGAAATACTGTTCTCCTGTCACTGTGTGCTATCTTTATGGTGAAATACTGTTCTGCTGTCACTGTGTGCTAACTTTTGTGGTGAAATACTGTTCTGCTGTCACTGTGTGCTAACTTTATGGTGAAATACTGTTTTCCTGTCACTGTGTGCTAACTTTGTGGTGAAATACTGTTCTCCTGTCACTGTGTGCTATCTTTATGGTGAAATACTGTTCTGCTGTCACTGTGTGCTAACTTTTGTGGTGAAATACTGTTCTGCTGTCACTGTGTGCTAACTTTATGGTGAAATACTGTTCTCCTGTCACTGTGTGCTAACTTTGTGGTGAAATACTGCTCTCCTGTCACTGTACTTTGTGGTGAAATACTGTTCTCCTATCACTGTGTGCTAACTTAATGGTGAAATACTGTTCTGCTATCACTGTGTGCTAACTTAATGGTGAAATACTGTTCTCCTATCACTGTGTGCTAACTTTGTGGTGAAATACTGTTCTCGTCACAGTGTGCTAACTTTTTGTGGTGAAATACTGTTCTCCTGTCATTGTGTGCTAACTTCATTTGTGAAATACTGTTTTCCTGTCACTGCGAGCTATCAGTTGTTGACTTCTGCTTCACTTGGGGACAGTAGTCTGCCTGCTATAACAACAGTTGACTTCAGAAACTAAGAGATCGTAGTATCGGACGTTGTCTATGGAATATTGCAAATTAATCCTCACAAAAGTATCTGTCATTATCTATGGAATATTGCAAGCTGGTCCTCACAAGAGTATCTGTCATCATCTATGGATTGTTGCAAGTTGGTCCTCACAAGAGTATCGGTCATCATCTATGGATTGTTGCAAGTTGGTCCTCACAAGAGTACCGGTCATCATCTATGGACTGTTGCAAGATGATCCTCTCATGAAATTCCACGATTTGCATATTGCTCCCCTAATTTAGAGCTGTTTTTTTTTTTTTTTGGCAGAGAAAAGCTCAGAATAACCAGGTTCGGCTGTCCTGCTGGAATTAGATGTTGGCATCATGTTGACATGTCTTGAGTGTCGATTGATTTGCTCTACGAAACTACAGACACCAGAAGCCCAATGATTTATAAGGAGGGTCCTTTACAAGACAGGAGAGAATTGCCTTTGAGAGGTTCTCACACCTG